CAATTCTATTACTAGGTATATATTGTAAAAAAGTAAAAGCCAGGACAAGAACAGATATGTGCGCACCCATCTTTATTGCAGCACTATTTACAATAGCAAAAAGACTACTTCAAGAAACCATAAGAAAAACAACAAACTAGGTGCTCATCAAGAAAAGAATGGATAACCAAACATTGTACATACACACAATGGAATACTATGTAACCCTAAAGAATAATGTAGAAAATGCAAAATATTGCATAATGTGGATGTACTTGGAGGATAGTATGCTGAGTGAAGAAAGTCAATCACAGAAAGACAAATATTTTATTAGTCCATTATTGTAAAAAGTCAAGGAAAGGTTTACATGGAAGGAAGTCTTCTTTGTTGGTTATTAGGGGGGGAAGGGGAGGGGAGGGATCCCTGCTAGGCAGGTAGAGACAAGTATTGACTTGGGTGAAGAAAAGGGCAATGTACCAAATGTGAGTGATCAACATGGTGGCACTGAGGAAGAGGAAGACAGAGAGAGGTGCATAGGAGGTACAGACAATAAAGATAAACCCTTTTACACATACAGTAATGTGTTGTCAGTGAAGGCAAACATGGATATACAGGTGGATAGATGGGTGGACAGGCTAAATGATTAGGTATGTCTATGCAGTGGGGAGTGTACCCATGACCATCTATAGGGTTGGCAGACAATGTTTCTACAAGTGTATTTGTATGGTCTCTAAGAATTTCCAGGTATACAGTAGAGCTGACAAGGGACAAGGTTGTAGTAACTTCTTGGCCACAGCCAGCTACCCAGAGGGAGTGAGTAGTTGAACCTGTGGGCTCAGGACCAGGGTCACAGGGGACATCATGCTCAAATGGCATAACATACTACACGAAATACTGCTCCACATTCTACTTTAGTGAGTAGTGATTAGGATCTTAGAAGCTTGCAAGCAACCAGCTAGATGCAATGATGGGTCTCTCCTTGTTCAGAACAAAGAATAACGAAGAAATCAAAGATGCATGGAAACAATTAATTAACAATTAATTAAGGGATTGGTACAGCATGTGATTCTCAACCTATATGACTATGAGACCAGAAACACTAGATGGTGCCCGTCTACCACTGTCAATTACTCGGAGGGGGATTTGTGTAAGAGATCCTGGGTAGAGTGGAGAACAATGTAGAACAAAATGCAAAATCATTTAAAAAAAAAAAAAAAAAAAATGGGGGTGGGGGAGGACCTAGTTTGCTGGTCTGATAGAGCCTGGTGGAACCACTCAGACTATGGCCCCTAGCTGCCCTTCAGGTCTGGAACTGAACCCACTCCTGTGGCTTTTAGCCAAATAAAAGAGAAGCATATAAGCTGAACATCTATATTAGACAGATACATTCCTTGTAGAGATCATGGGAGAACAGAAGTGCTGTGTACGCACATGGAGAGAGTTCAGGGGGGCAGGAGTGCATGGGAGGGAAGGACACAGGGAAGAGGTGGCTATGGTGGGGGAAGAGCTGTTGCATTGTGGGAGATTACAGTCAATGTCATGAGACAAAGTGTATGTGAACTGCTATATGGAAGATGAATTTGCTCCATAAACTTTCACCCAAATCATACACACACACAAAGATTATGCTGGTTATTTGGAACTCCTTGCAATTCTTTATGAATTTGAGGATGGGCTTTTCTCACTTCTTCCAAATGGGTTGCTGGAATTTTATAGGATTTGTAAGTTCTGTGGATCACTTTGTATAGTACTTTGGTCTTAACAACATTAAATATTCTGACTTACGATGTCTTTCCATTTAATTTATTTCAGCAATTTACTGAAGTTTTCAGTGTAAAAGTCTTTCACTTCCTTGGTTATATTCACCCTTGTTAATTTTTTCTTGTAGATACCAAGATACCATTGTTCTCTTAATTTCCTTTTCAGGTTGCTTACTGCTGGTGTATAGACACAACTGGTTTTTGAGTTTTGATCTTGTGCTCTGCAACTTTGCTGAATTTATTTACTAGCTCTAGTTACCTTCTTATCAATTCTTTTGAATTTTCTATATACAGAACCATGTCATCTGTGACTAAAGATAGTTTTCCTTTCTAATTTGATACTTTTTCCTTTCTGATTTGGATGTCTATTATTTCTTTTCCTTGCCTAACTAGTCTGGGCAGAACGTCTAGTACAATGCAGAACAGCAGCTGTGAGAGCAAGCATCATTGTCTTGTTCTGGACCTTAGATGAAAAGCTTTCAATCCTTCTCACTGAGTGCGAGGTTACTTTCAATCCTTCTCACTGAGTGCGCTGTTACTTGTGGGATTTTGATAAATGCTTTGTATCATGTTGAGGAAGTTCCTTTCCATTCCTAGTTTTCCTTTTTTTTTTTTTAAATCATGAAAGGCTTCTGGATTTTATCAAACGACTTTTCTGCACCCATTGAAATAACCATGTGTTTGTTTTATGCCCTTTATTCTAGGAATATAGTATATTACCCTGATATATTTTCATATGTTGAACCACCTTTGTATTCTTGGGATAGATCCCACTTGGTCATGTTGTAAAATGTTTTTATATACTATTGGAGTCATCTTACTAGTATTTTGCTGAGGATTTTGGCATAAATATTCATAACAGATATTAGTTTGTAATTTTCTTTTTTGTGGTATCTTTATCTGGCTTTGGCATCGGGGTAATGCTGGCCTCATAGAATGAGTTAGGAAGTATTCTTCTGCTGCTGTTTTTTTAAGTTTAAAAAGGATTGGTGTTAAATACTTGGAGGAATTCAACAGTGAAGCCATCTGATTCTGGAGTTTTCTTCGCTGGAGGATTTTGATTACTGATTCAATCTTTTTATAGGTCTCTTCAGATTGTCTGTTTCTTTCTTGAGTCAGTGTAGGTGATTTGTGTTAGCAATTTGCTCATTTCATATAAATTCTCTAACTTGTTGCCATAATTGCTTATAGTGTTCTCATAATTCTTATAATTAAAAAGAGAAATATCTTGTAACGATAACTTAAGTTTACACTTTGAGAAACTAAAGAAAGACAGCATAAGAAAGAAAATAACAAAGATTAGAGATAAATACAGTAGAAAAATTATCAACGGTACCAAAAGTTTGTTATATTTGCACAGAGAGATAGTTCCAGGGGTGGGAATGCATATGAAAGAAAGATAAAGGGAAGAGGTAACTACAGGGACAAAGTGGGAAGAGAACTGCAGTCAATGTCATGAAACAAAATGCATATGAACTGCTCTATGGAAAATGAATTAAAAAAAAAGTTTGCTGTTGAAAAGAAGTTCTAAACCTTTAGCGAGGCTAAGAAAAGAAGTGAGAAGATGCAAGTAACTAAAATCAGAAATGAAAGTGGGGATATTACTACTAACCTTACAAAAATAAAAAGGTCTCTGAGGATGTGTTTGTTGTTGTTGTTATGTGCCGTCGAGTCAAACCTGACTCATAGCGACCGCTCCTTGGGTTTCTGAGGCAGTATCACTACGGAAGTAGGATTGCCCAACCTTCCTTCCGAGGAGTGGCTGGTGAGTTTGAACCGCCAGCCGTCTGGTTAGCAGGCAAGTGTCTTAGCCACTATGCTACCAGAGGATGTGTTTAGTTTTCTTTGTTCTTTATTTCTTCCTCAGACTTGATAATTTCAATAATCTTACATTCTAGACCTCTAATTCTTCTGCCTATTTAAATCTGTTGTTGAACTCCTCTAGCAAAATTATCATTTCATTTATTTTATTCTTTAGCTCCAGAACTTGTTTGGTTCCTTGTTATAATTTTTATCTCATTACTGATATTTTAATTTTGTTCCTATATCATTTTCCTGAGGTTTATGTATTTTTATCCTAGTAGTAAAGGCATTAAATAGATAGCAAAACAGAACCATGGAATTAACATGATCTATGTAAGAATTTAATTTGTGAGTGATGTTGTTATGTGCTGTCGAGTCAGACCCGACGCATAACAACCCCTTCTTGGGTTGCTGAGGCAGTAGCACTACGGAAGTAGATTGCCCAACCTTCCTTCCGAGGAGTGGCTGGTGGGTTTGAACCTCCAGCCTTCTGGTTAGCAGTCAAGTGCCTTAGGCACTATGCCACCAGAGGTCCTTTGTGAGTGAAAGAACTTGAGAAATTTGTTCTTCTTAATGCAAGGCCATTTCTTCTTTTTTCAATTTTTTTGTACTTTGGGTGAAAAGTTTAATGGCCATTATTTATTATCTATTTTGTTGTTTGCTTATCAGAGTAAAACAGTGTATCAAAGTCACAAATTTACAAAAGGGTGCCAAAAGTCTTCTATCATTTACTATGAGATAAAAAGGATCTCTAGCAATTCAAATATAAAATAAGCAATTTGGTGAAATAAATATTTATCAATTAATAAAGAAGAAAAAAACTACTTTATCTATAATCTACTATAAGGTACCTTTGTGCAAATTAGGGGTTTGTTTTCATTTATTAATTATGATGACTTTGACAGAAAGACAGAGTTTACTGTCATCTCATAGAATACTGAAGTGATGCATATAAAAGTCTGGGATGGCTAAGGTGTGAATGGTGTCCCCTTAGTTAGGGTTTCTCAACTGTATCACTATTGACATTTTGGACTATATTGTGGGGGTGTCCTGTGTACCGCAGAATGTTCAGCATCCCTGGGTTCTATCCACTAGATGCCAATAGCACTCCTTCCCTCCAAGTTGTGACATCCAACAATGTCTCTAGACAATGCTACATGACCCTGGAAGGCAAAAGTGCTCCCAGTTACAAACCACTGCCTAAAATGTAGTGGCCATGTACAGCGTACAAAGTGTAATGGCACTGCTTAGGCACAGATATGCTGAAGGACATACTTATTGAATTCAATAGCTTGATGTGGAATTTGAGGTTGGATTGCCTGAAATCATAGTCCGTGTCTTTCCCAACAAATCTGCTTGCTTCAACCCATTTCCAGTTCTGCTAGGAAAATACTGCATAATTAAATACTGTTCTAGAGATTTTCAACACTGAATCAATATAAATAAACATGTAAATACCTTTCTAGCATTTCTTCTGTTAATCAGTTGAACACGTTCTTCTCCAGTGAGACTATTAACATCTAATTTATTGGGGTTTCTGCAACGGTGTCTTTTTTGTTTTGGCCTTCCCTCATGAAGCTGCATTCTCTAAAATATACAAAGAAATAGCCTTAAAATCTTTACCTATGCAAAACTATTACAAATATTATAAATTACCTGATACAAGATTCTAATCCTATATATTATTGAAGCATTTAGCATTTAGTTACTCACACACTAAAAATACATTAAAATGTACTGCGTAAACCTCTTCCTCAAACTATCCATTTAGAACACTATTGAAGTCTATCATAATGACCACAATTATGGTTCTATTATGAAAGTAGGGTGCTTTGACCGGCGCCTGAAATGAGAAGAACATTTGCTAGTGCTTTCTTTAAAGCTTAAGATACTCCTGGAGGGTGACACCTTGATAGTCCTGAAGAATAATACTTGAAGAGGTCAGGCTGAAGCCACTGAGTGGATTCTGACTCATAGTGACCCTACAGAACTGCCCCATAGGATTTCCAAGTCTGTAAATCTTTATGGAAGTAGACTGCCTCATGTGTCTCCCAAGTGACCAGTGGGTTCTAATCACTGACTTTCTGGTTAGAAGCCCAATGCTTTAAACCACAGTGCCAAATGTATTGTTCTTTACCTTTTCTCCTGTTTCTTAAACTTTTAAGATTTTCCCTGTTCTTTAATACAATTTATAATTTGTGTTAGCTGTGTTAGTGGCTTCCATTTCTCTTCATCTCACTTAGGGTTTTCCTTATCTTTTCTCATGTAATCAATACAATCATGCAAAAAAACAAAAACCAAAAACCAAACCCAAACTCACTGCAATCGAGTCATTTCCAACTCACAGCGACCTCCATTGGGTTTCTAAGGCTGTAAATCTTTATGGAAGTAGATCACCCATCTTCCTCCCGTGGAGTGGCTGGTGGGTTTGAAACACTGACCTTCCAGATAGCAGTCAAGTGTCTTATCCAATACGCCACCAGAGCTCCTTTTAATACTAAAAGGTATTATTCTTATTTTACGAAGAAGATGCTAATGCTCAGAGAGGTTATTTTTCTCATGGTCATACATGCAGCTAGTGGTCCAAAACCAAAACAAACAAACAAAAAAAAGGAGCTCTGGTGGCATAGTGCCTAAGGCATTTGACTGTTAACCAGAAGGCTGGTGGTTCAAGCCCAGCAGCCACTCTTCAGAAGGAAGATTGGGCAATCTACTTCTGCAGTGATACTGCCTCAGAAATCCAAGGAGGGGTTGCTATGAGTTGGAGCAAGTGGTAGAGCTAAAATAACTCTTATCTGACAATAAAAATAAAAACTCATTCCATCAAGCCATTGTGCTTATCTCTACAACTGGTAACAAAGCAGAGGTTAATGTTTATAGTATTTCTAACCAATCAAAATATTTCAAGAGACTAATATATAAACTATTCTCCAAGATATACCACTTCCCTAACAGCTTAGATTTAATTCAGTTTTTGTATCCAAGTTAGTATTACTCTACTCATTTTCCTTCACATTCTGGACTATCAGACTTTTTTGTTGTTAGTCACATCAAGTGGACTCTGCCTCACGGAGACCCCAAGTATACAGAGTAGAACTGCTCCATAGGGTTTTTGAGGCTGTTACCCTTTGGAAGCAGATTGCCAGGTCTGTCTCCCAAGGTGCCTCTGGTTTGAACCACCAACCTTCTAGCCAATAATAGAGCACTGAACTGTTTGCATCACCAAGGGACTCCTGAATAGCTGTTGTGTGCTGTGGAGTTGATTTTGACCCACAGAGACCCTGTATCAGATTGTTGTTATGTGCCATTGTGTCAGACCTGACTCACAGTGACCCGTCCTTGGGTTTCTGAGGCAGTATCACTATGGAAGTAGATTGCCCAACTTTTCTTCCGAGAAGTGGCTGGTAGGTTTAAACTGCCAGCCTTCTGGTTAGCAGTCAAGTGCCTTAGGCACTATGCTACCAGAGCTCCCTATATCCGATTAGTTACTGTTTTACGAATGCCTACACTTGTATTCTTTTTTAACTCTCTTAAAATTGATCTATAACACCTAGAATATCCATTTTTTCTTATACTAATCTGGTCAATGCCCATTTTCAGATCCCAGTCAAATGCCAGCTCTACTCTCTATCTTTCCCTACTATGTTTTGCTCAGGGAAAGTTAGTTATCTTTTCCCATGACACATACTTCTGTTATGGTATATACTATACCACATTATAATTATTTAGTTATAGAGAAACCATAATAAAATAATTAATGTAAAGTACACTTGGTAAATCACACAAATTATTATCTTACAGTCTTTATAACAAATACTTCATTTAAATACTTTTTTTTTTTTTAAATGAATATGCCTTTGACTAATGGGACCATCTAATTGGTCTCCTCCTAAATAACAATGACAGGGATGATAGCACCTCTTATGATTAACAAAAATAATAATGGTTATAAAATAGAAATTTTCTTATTTTTTTTCCTTCTATCTTGGCTACCACCAGAAACTTCAGCCAAGATATAATTTGTGCACAATAACTGGCTTTGACTTCTTCCTTGGCAAAGAATACAAATTTGGAGGGTGGGGGCAGAAGAGAAGGAGACAAAGGAGTGAATTGGTTTATAAAATTCTAAATGTGACACTTGGAGGAGCAGGAAAGCACTAACGCAAATTTCCTTTCCATAGGGCTCTGAGGCAAAGCTTAACATGGGAATCTGTGCAAATGCCTTTAGCATCAGATGTGTTCAAGTCAATTGGATTACTGACATAGATGAAAGTTCATTTGTTCATTTATTCATTTATTCACTAACTCACCTATCCTTTCATCCATCTATTCTTTGGAGGACACATCTCACATGGCTATGGTTTAGAAGAACATATGAAAAATGTTTGAAAATCTTAATCATAAAGTTTTATACTAAGTGTCATGGTATTAGGTTTATTTGTAGTAAAAATGATGAATCTCAATAAAAGTTAACAAAATAATAATAATGGCTTTTTTAGTGAAAAGAGAAAAGCTTGAAAATCATTCAGAAATGAGGATGAGAACTTAATCTGGTTCACTGTTATATCCTCAATCACTAAAAATAATAACCAACACAAAGTATCACTCAATAAAAATCTGTTGAATGAGTAGGTGCATGCTATTTTTCTAACATGGTAAGAAGTTATAGTTAAACTAGACCCCATTATTTTTTTAAAAACTGTAATATTAATTCTATAGTTGACCACCTCATTTAGTGAAAACTCTTTTCATTATACTTATAGGAGACTACTTGCCCTTTACTAATTTGAAACTAAATAAATAACTTTTGGGAACATGAAGCACCCTTTGAGAAAACTAGGGATAAGAAAAGCACCTAAAAGCCAACATTGAGGCTTTCTCTGTTTGAGACTATCAAGTTATTTCTGGTGACAACAACAGCAATGGAAAATATTAGATCTAAATATCATAAAAATCATTCTAGAGCTAGAGGTTTTATGGTTCTTTCTCATGACAAAAAAAAAAAAAAAAAGAGCAATTATTATTATTATTGCTAATAAATAATCATTGTCTTTATAATTTAAAAAAAATTTTTTAAATTGTTTTCTCAATAAATATTTATGAGGAACTATATATACTATGATGTACATCACAAATTATGTATGAAGTCCTGAGGACAAAAATATGAATAGTCCTTAAGAAGCTCATAGGCAAGTGGACAGCTTTACTTGTGTTATCTATTTAAATCTTCATAATGGAAGTAGACAGGACAGGTCCTGATAGTTTTACTGTACAGAAGACACACCATTATTGTTTTACCTTATTAAGTACACAGAAATATCAAGGGATGCTGATATAAAATTTGGTACATCAGCATTTGTGTCAATTAACACAACATCAAATATAGATTCCTATGTATTGGAAAGGGGCATTTGCCTAGAAGATGGTGAGTAAATAGCATTTCAAAGCATAAGGAGAATGCAAAATAAATATACTTCTCATCTTTGATTAATGTAAACTTGTGCATCTGGAGAGACAAAGAAGCTGTATTATTACAGTGTGAAGAAGAGCTTAGAGTTAATTAAACACTGAGGTTATAAGTCTAAAGAAATAGTTTGGACTCTGGAGTAAAAACTAATTAGCCATGTGACCTTGGACTATTTACTTAAAATCTCTGTGCTTCAATTTCTTTATCTAAAAATGGTTATAATGATTGTTGTGAGTGTAAAATGACATAACAAACTGCCATACACATTGGTAAGTCTCAATAAATATTCACTATGATTAATAATTATTATTTGTAAAGAAACTCCTTGAAGAAAATAATTATGTTTTATTACTTTGTAACCTTCACTGAACCTAACATAAAAACAAAAAAACATTGCCATCAGCTTGATTCCAACTCACAGTGACCCTGTATGACAAAACAGAAATGCCTGACAGGATTTCCAAGGCTGTGATCTTTATGGAACAAGAATGCATCACCTTTCTCCAATGGAGCAGCAGTGGGTTCAAACTGCAGACCTCTTAGTTAGCAGCTGAGCGCTTAACCACTGTGCCACTAAAACCTAACACAAACCAAAAAAACCAAACTCACTGCCGTTGAGTTGGATCCGACTCACAGCAACCCCTCTTTGGGTTTCTGAGGTCGTATCTCTACAGGAATAGATTGCCCAACCTTCCTTCCAAGGAGTGACTGATGGATTAGAACCACCAGGCTTCTGGTTAGCAATCATTTGCCTTAGGCACTACGCCACCAGAGCTCCATAAACCTAACACAGTACTCTGTATATTGGATGTGATTTTTATTATTGAAAACAATTGCATTGGGAATGGAAAACAACACTGTATTGTATAATGGGAAAGACGGTAATTATGTATTTTTATAGTTTTCCTAAATCTAGGGCAGTAGAAATATTTAGCATAAATAGAAGAGAATTCATGTTTCATCATTATAGGATTGACATATCATACAAATAAAATACACCAAGATTTTTAAGGTATCACTTACAGGAATAAAAGCTCCTAAATCTTCCACATAACCTGGGTGCTCCTTAAGCCATTTTTCCAAATCCTTTCTCTTCGGTGCATCATCACCTGCAAGTCTTGTCCCATCTTTAAGGTTAATAACTGGAACTGGACTTTCCAAATCAGGCATTCCTTGAAGTTGAGTATAGGAAAGAGGTGTATTTATCCCTGTAGACATCTGTGAGGTGGGTATACCTATAGTAACCTGCAGGAAAATATTACATAAAAATTTCATTTACATGCTTTATCACTCTAATCTTGATTCCAATGAAGTAATTATTTCTGAAGGATAAATACAGTAAAAATTCCAGTAAAATTTTCAAATTTCAATTGCTGTGAACCTTGGACATTGCCAGATTTTCCAAATACACATCTAAAACTAGATAGTATACTTGTGTAGTTTCTAATTATCCTTACTTACATGATTAGGTGGTTTGTTTCTATTAAAAAAGAGGATGTCAACACCTTCTACATTCTTCCTCCTTCCTCGCCTTTTTTTGACTATAGGTTGGTTGTCTAATATCACTCCATTGGCACCAAGGGTTGATTGAATAGAAGTACCTAATCAAATTAAAAATAATGATAAAAATCTGATTCATAAAAAAATCTAATCATTATTCTAAATATATGGAAGTATTAGATCTTATTTTACATATATCATAAATCAGGCAATTTTTATACTAAACATATCATCCCCATTTCTCATTTAAAAATGTAGGCAACTGTGATCTAGGCCTCTTTCAATTTTTTAAAAAAATATATTGTCTAATATTTTAATGTATAGGTCTAGTTTATCAATAAACTGAAAGGTGTCTTATATTTCTTTTCCTTTCCCTTCAGTGCTATATAAAAAAGAGAAGTACTTAATAAATATCTATAGAATGAAATAATGGAAGAACATTTGCGTATACAACAAACAGAGTGTACATTTACAAACATACCTCAATTTGGCCATTCTTTGGTAAATTATATGCTACTTACTAGAGGGTGATTTTCATAAATGTTACTGATTCATTGTAAACTAGAAACCAAAATGGAAAATTTACCCTACTCTATAAAATACATGTCTTTATCTTAGACGTAACAATAACGATATTGGAAATAACCTCCTACTCTTGAATGCCTAGGAGTCCCTGGGTGGTACAAACGGTTCATGTAATTACTAGCTAACAAGTTGGTAGTTTGAATCCATCCAGGTGTCTCAAGAGACAGGCCTAGCAATCTGATTCTTTTTTTGAATTGTTCTTCCTCCATTAGCATAAACTTACCTGAAATATTGTTCTTTCTACTTTATCCAGTTTATACTTTCAGAGCTTAGCATAGGTCTCATTTCCACTATTAATATTTTTCTCAACCAGTCTAACTCACTCAAAGTCAGAGCCTTGAAAATTCTCTGCAGCAGTTGTACTCTGCACATATTGGGTTGCCATGAGTTGGAATTGACTCCACGACAGCTAACACAACATAATACTTGATGATGATAAATGGAAAGTTTTCCCTCTAAGATCAGGAACAGGACATGGATGCCCGCTTTCACCACTGCTATTCATCATAAGGAAAGTTCTGGCCAGAGCAATTAGGCAATAACAACAATGAATGCCTATTAGGTGCCAGGTAATGGACTACTACTCACTGCCGTTGAGTCGAACCCGACTCATAGCGACCCTTCCTTGGGTTTCCGAGGTGGAATCACTAGGGAAGTAGATCGCCCAACCTTCCTTCTGAGGAGTGGCTAGTGGGTTTGAACCTCCAACCTTCTAGTTAGTTGTTAAATTCCTTAGGCACTATGCTATCAGAGCTCCTCCTTAGATAATAGAGAAGTTTTATAAATGTTATCTTTTTTTATTTTATCTTTTGTTATCATTAACAAAACATACACCAATTCACTAATTGGTACAAATATTAATCAGTGAAATTGATTACATTCGGCAAATAGTGCAAATATTTTCACTCTACTTTTTTGAATTGTTCCTTCCCCATTAACATAAACTCACTGTTCCCCTAAGTTTCTATCTAATCTTTGAGTTGCTGTTGTCTGTTTGATCCCGTAGAGAGAGCTCTTAAAAGAGTACGATGCTCAGAGTAGGTATTCTTTACCAGTTAAGTGAAACAATTGTTTTGTTTAAAGAAGACTTCAGGGGAAATTTTTGGTTTAAGGCTTAAAGATTATCTCAGGGCAATAGTTTTGGGGATTCAACCAAACAATGGCTCCAGAAAGATAAATGACATCTTTAATCAACAAAATGTAAACAAAACAAACACAAATGCAGGTATTTTTTAAGCCCATTTTTATAAATGAGATCAGACTATATATACAGGTGATAGGCTCAATGTCACAATGGCTGGTAAATAACAGAATTCAACCCCACATTGCTTAGCTGTACCATCGTTACTCCAGTACTACTCCAGGTAATTTATGAAATGGGCTCTTTAGTTTTGTCCTCTTGTTACAATCTCTGCTATTTTATTCTCTTTCAGTAACTACATTATTTTATATCCTGTATCTTTAAAGACTCAGTACTTTCAGATAAAATTTAGAGGGTGTCAAAAAAAGGGGGTGAGGAGGCTTAGACTTTAAAAGGTAGAAAATGCCAATAATAATATCTATTCAGCATTTAATTCTAAAATCTATGAATACCTAATTTTAACATCTGTCCAGAATCTAATTATGTGCCAAGTTATATACTAGCAAATTAAACGTCATGGAGTAAGACAGACCTAGATTTTATACCCGCAATTATTAGGACAAATGAGATATAAAGTGTAGACAATAACTCTCATAGTATTAATGCTTCAGATTTTAAAGTATCTGTTTATAGTTGCCAAATTAGTTAGTTACTAACAAAAAAACAAAAATTAGTATTATTTACCAAAGAACTATTTATGGGAGAAGGCTATATGATATTCAATTGCAAAAGCAATAAAATGTAAACATCACAGAAGTTATCAATTTTATAGTGGAGTAATCAGAGTACAGTACATGTAGTAATGTATTATTAAGCCCCTCGAATGCTGGGCTGGGGACTTATATAGGAAGGCCTGGGGCTTGGAGGCTGCTTTTCGCTTGGGGGCTGCTTTTCACTTGGAGGTGGCTCTTTATTTAGGCTGTTACGTGAAGTAGACAGATGCAGAGAGGTTAGGAGCAACTAAGGGAGATGAAATTGTCTGTCAGTTTGTTGTCCTGTGGTGGCTTATGTTGCTGTGAGGATGGAGGATATGCCACCATATTGCAAAATGCCAGCAGGGTTACCCATGGTGGATAGGTTTCAGTGGAGCTTCCAGGCTGAGACAGTGTTGGAAGAGGAGGTCATTTACTTCTCACACAATTGGCCAGTGAAAATTTTATGAACAGCAGTGAAACAATGTCTGATGTATTATTGGAAAACCTTATGAATAGACCTGAAACACTGTCTGATATAATGCTGGAAGATGAGTCCATCAAGTTGGAAGGCACTCAAAATTTGACTGGGGAAGAACCGACTCCTCAGAGTAGAGACTACCTTAACAATATGGATAGAGTGAAGCTTTCGGGACCGCCATTGGCTAATGCGGCATGACTCAAAATGAGTAGAAACAGATATGAACATCCATTAATAATTGGAACATGGAATATACGAAGTATGAGTCCAGGAAAATAGGAAGTTGTCAAAAATTAAATGGAATGCATAAAATCAATATCCTAGGCATTAGTGAGCTGACATGGACTAGTTTTGTCCATTCTGAATCAGACAACCATATGATCTACTATACTGGGAATGACAAATTAAAGAGGAATGGTGTGGCATTCATCATCACAAAGACTGTTTCAAGATCTGTCCTGAAGTATAACGCTGTCAGTGATAGGATAATATCCATACGCCTATAAGGAAGACCAGTCAATACTACTATTATTCAAATCTACACACCAACCACCAAAGCCATAGATGAGGAAAATGAAGATTTCTACCAACTCGTGCAGTCTGAAATCGACTGAATATGCAATCAAGATGTGTTGATTATCACTGGTGACTGGAATGCGAAAGTTGGAAACAAAGAAGAGCTACCGGTAGCTGGAAAATATGGCCTTGGTATCAGAAACAATGCTGGAGATTGCATGATAGAATTTTGCAAAATCAGTGACTTATTCATTGCAAATACCATTTTCTAACAAAATAAGTGATGACAATACATGTGGACTTCACCAGATGAAATACACAGGAATCAGATTGACTATAACTGTGGCCAGAGGCAATGGAAAAGTTTAATATCTTTGGCCAAAACAAGACCAGGAGCTAACTGTGCAACAGAACATCAACTGCTCATATGCATATTCAAGTTGAAGTTGGACACAACTAAAACAAGTCCACGAAGAATAGAAGGGCTGTGTATGCACAGGAGACAGCTCAGGGGGCAGGAGTGCATGGAGGGAACATGGAGAGAACAGGCAACTAGGAGGAGGAAGTGGAATGGGAGCTGTTGCATTGTGGGAAATTGTAGTCAATGTCATGAGACAAAGTGTACATGAGCTGCTGAATGAAAAGTGAATTTACATTGTAAACTCTCACCCAAATTATAATTTAAAACACAAAACAAAACAAAACAAGTCCACGAGAGCCAAAATATGACCTTGATAATATCCCTCCTGAATTTAGAGACCATCCAAAGAATAGATTTGATGCATTGAACACCAATGACCAAAAACCAGAGGAATTGTGGGATGACATCAAGAACATCATCCAAGAAGAAAGCAAGAGGTCATTAAAAAGACAGGAAAGGAAGAAAAGACCAAAATGGATGTCAGAAGAGACTCTGAAACTTGCCCTTGAACAGAGAGTATCTAAAGCAAATGGAAGAAATGACAAGATAAAAGAGCTGAACAGAAGATTTTGAAGAGCAGCTCAAGGAGACAAAGTCAATTACTATAATGAAATGTACAAAGACCTGGAGTTAGAAAACCAAAAGGGAAGAACATGCTCAGCATTTCTCAAACTGAAAGAACTGAGGAAAAAATTTAAGACTCGAGTGCAATATTGAAAGATTCTATGGGCAAAATATTGAATGATGTGGGAAGCATCAAAAGAAGATGGGAGGAATACACAGAGTCACTATACCAAAAAGAACTGGTCGATGTTCATCCTTTTCAGGAGGAGGTATATGTTCAAGAACTAATGATACTGAAGGAAGAAGTTGAAGCTGCACTGAAGGAATTGGTGAAGAACAAGGCTCCAGGAATTGACTGAATACCCACTGAGATGTTTCAACAAATGGATACCCGGCTGCAGGCACTCACTCAGCTATGCCAAGAGACTTGGAAGACAGCTACCTGGGCAACTGACTGGAAGAGATCCATATTGTACCCATTCCAAAGAAAGGTGATCCCACAGAATGTGGAAATCATTGAACATTATCATTGATATCACACACAAGGAAAATCTTTCTGAAGATAATTCAAAAATGGTTGAACTATATTGATAGAAAGCTTCCAGAAATGGAAGTTGGATTAAGAAGAGGATGTGGAACCAGGGATATCATTGCTGATGTCAAATGCATCTTGGCTGAAAACAAAGAATCCCAGAAAGATG